AAGCATAAAATGTTTGTTAAATTATGTTAATAGTATACTTTTTTAGGGCGTGGCATTATTATTTTACTATGTGTTTCTCATTTCAATCAGGGGCAGCATTTAAGTCTTTGAGAACTAATCACAATGGCAAAGATAGCCAGTCCCCAGAAGAGCTCACTGGTTGGTCAGCAGTGCAGGACCCATTGCTGGTCCCCCTAGCTGACCAGTTATTACAACATTTAGCTCGTCTTCTGAATGTCTGTGCACATGTGATAGAAGGAAACCAACCAGGTCCCCCTAAAATACAGGTAAGAGATACTGTGAATGTAACATGAATGAGGGTGGGGATAATTTGCACTACCAGTTCCCTCTTTTCATCACAAATTCACATTATAGTCCCGTTTATAATTTGCACTGGCTCCAAAATTAGGGTTAATTTCCAGAAATGTTGAAGAATATAAAAAAAAAGTGCAGAAAAAATTGGGCGATAAAGTCTGGTGGTGAAATGGTTAACTTGTTGAACACCAAATACAGTCACTGTCATTTTCTGCTCCATCCCCAACTAAAATTTACATAAAAACTACCAAAATGTTGCACTGAAAGTTTGGTAGGAAAAATTATGGGCCAGGCAAAAGGAAGATTTTTGTTATTTGTAAAATAATAAAAGTTTTCAAATTTTTTTAAAAAAATTATTTTGTCAAGTATCAATGAAAATTGATGAAATGTGCTCTAATTAATAACCTCTGGTTAGTTTATTTGAAATATATTGTTACAGTAATGTTTTGTTTTATATTTTGATTCAGCCTTCGCTGCCATCTTTGTCTACTGGTACATCACTTAGTCCAATTAAAAAGAAAACCAAATCAAAAGAGAAGGACGGTGACCAAGCCGCTTCTCTGTCTTCTAGTCCATTAAAATCACAGTCAAAGGATCACAAGCAAGGTATGTGACATAGATGTTATTATTTATTATGTCAAATGTACTGTTTTAAAGAATAATAAAGAACATATTTCAAGAGTGAGATATGTGATTTCAGTGGTGTTCATCACCGAGTTTTTAAGAGGCAAA